ACTAACAAGAGTTCTACAAACATAATATAGCTGCAGCGTGGCTCTACCACGTACAAAACGGACGGTCAATTTTACGTATATATAAATACCACGTCTAGTACTATTACTTATTATGTGGCACCACTGTTGAGGCGTGGTAGCTCAGATGGTTAGCGCTCGCTGTAAATTTCACAATATGCGAGCAAACCGGGTTCGATCCCGTCGGTACCAATGAAATTGTTAATTGCAATTTAAGTGCTGATTTACCACGTGCTCGGCGGTGAAGGAAAACATCGTGAGGAAACCTGCATGTCTGAGAAATAAGAAAAAAAATATTTCGAAGACATGTGAAGTTCGCCAACACGCACTGGGCCAGCGCGGCGGACACTTCCTTGCCCTAAAACCCTCTCAGAAATGAGAGGAGGCCTGTGCCCAGCAGTGGGAGGTATATGGGCTGTAACTTTACTTTATTTTAACTGTTGAAAATAACCACTTTCATGTGTTTACGATAACATCTTTCCTTTCTTTCCTAATTGTGTAATCATTACATTTTTAGAAAACTGTTAAAGTGTTTTAAGTATTTTGTTACCGTGGTAACATATTAGGTGTTTAAGTGCATTGTTGTTTTGTTAACCGTTTCACCTGACTGGGCTCAATGTGTTCCCTGGTTGTTCGCCTGGCCTTACCTGTTGTTGTTCTCTCCTCAATAAAGTTGTCATTAAATAATTATGTTTGCCTTTTATTTACCTTCTGAAGGAATTAGTGGCTACGATTTCATGATTCATGACCTACACAATCGTACAATATAAATTCTGAATTAATGATTATTAGTGAGCACGGTTACGCTAATATCATCAAACTTACAAAACATTTTTAATGTAATTTTGCTGTCTAACGAAGCGGTTATCATTATCTGAATGCATGACCCTGATCATAATTTTGTGGCATGAAAAAGCTGTGTATATGTATCTGTATTATTTGAATTAAAAACACTACAGTAAACCCTCGTTAATGCGAACACGGTTAACACGAATTTTGGTTTAAGACGAACAAAAATTTGCTCTAGACAATAGTTCCATAAGCTTCAATGTAATTATGTTCGGTTAAGATGAACCCTCGTTATCCGAACTTCGAACAACTTTTTCGTCCCTTCACGGTTAATTATCGGATAATAAGAACTATAAAAATTCCCAAATCATGTACATTGTAAATTTTTTTGTCCTTTTTTCGGTCAATACAAATACCGGTAAACTATGGCTGAAGAGATTAGAAAAGTTATTAACTCGAGTTTCTAAAAATAGACAAAGGATTAGGATATCAAACATTCACTCGAGTACCTAAAAATAGAAACAATACCTCAAATTTTCTTTCCAGCTTACAAAAGCTATTGAAATGGTTGTAAACTTTTGAAAACTAATTAACAAAAGCAAAGGCTTCTTAACAATTTGGCTTTGTTAAGAAGTGTACATATAAACTGATGTCTGATGAACATAATAGTTATAAATGATATGTAAAAATAATGCTAAGTTAAAAAAATTTATAATAAAAAATATTGTAAATATAAAATAATAATATCAAAGTTATTAATAAAAATGTTTCTATGATGAATCATAATATTGAGTTTAGAAACACGAATTCATTTTTTTGCATTGTTCGGATTACACGAACTCCTCTGTAACACGAACTATTTGTCTGATTTTTTCGTGTTCGTGTTAACGAGGGCTTACTGTAATACAACCGATTTATTTCATTGACATACTACCTATGTACTGCGTAAGTAAGTTATACTTCAATGATTTGCATCTTTCTGCTGAATTATTATCGTTATTTTTTTTTTCGAAAAATCTCTTATTTCTGTAAGTTTCTTTGCCAATTTTCATTTTAATTTTACAAGCGACAGTAGCCTAATGGCAGGGCGCTGACCGCGAACTCAAAAAGGTCGTGGGTTCGAATCCGCCATTCGACTACTGGCGTGAACCACTCGTAACACAAGCAATTTAAGCTTACCACGACTGGTTAAGGGGAATATTAGTAATGTTTATAGCATTGTTAATATTCTTTAAAAAAAAGTTACTTTTTCTATTCCGCAAGGCCGCGTGCTATTAGCACCGCTGTTTCTTGTGCATATGCATATGTTGCAAATAGGTAACATACATTGCTTTGCGGACGACAGCACTGGTGATGCTTTATACACCGGCTGTGCCAATATTTCTCGGAAAAACACGTCACCAAGTACCGGAACAAAGTTGTGCCTGAAGGCGAGACACTGTTGAACAAAGTCCGGATTGGGGACTTAATCTTGTCCAGTTCAATCCCCAGAAGACACAAGTTTGCACGTTTACCGCTAAAAAGAACCCATTTTGTCGTATCTCCTCAGTTTTGAGACACTCCCCTTGTTGCCTCAGCCAGTGTTGGAATCCTTGGCGTCAACATATCGAGGACATATATGTAACATGTGTAACATGCAGTTTCGTGGTTACTTGGAAGAGAAGGCCAAATTGGCCTCTAAAAAAGCTTGGCGTGCTCGACAGAGCGGGACAGTATTTCATGCCGGCACACCGCCTGCCACTGTTCCAGTCTCTGGGTTGGGACTTCCCAGTGCCAGCTCCTTTAATTTGATCGGATCCAGCGCAGAGCGGTACGAATCGTCGTCGACCGAGCACTTTCGGAGCGGCATGACTCACTGGTGCTGCGAATAGATGTTGCATCTCTTTGCTTATTCTATCGTATTCACCACGGGAAGTGCTTAGAGGAATTGTTCGGACTAATTCCAGCCACTCAATTTCACCATCGCACATCGTGACAGAACTCGAGATACCATCCTTACCTCCTGGATGCTTGGCGGTCCAGTACTGTGAAATTTACTTTGTTTTGTGGAATCGACTACCACCAGCGATTTTCCGGACCGATATGTCTTAGGGACCTTCAAGAAAAGAGCCTTCTCTGTTTTAAAAGGCCAGCAACGTGTGGCGCACCACCTGCCACAATACAAAAATACACAATTAAATAACACATTAATAAACACACAAACAAATTTCAATTCACACAAATACACTCATCACACATTATATATTACATTTTATTATTTATTAATATTACATAAAGTTTACTTACCGTAAACCTGACAACTTTGCCCTTGGGATTTGACTTTGCCCAGTTGGGTATTTTTTGGTAAACTTGATACACAGCGAATTTGACATAACTTAGGAGTATTTTTTCGTCTGTAGTATAAAATTCATTATTTTTCTAGCAACACTAAGTGATGTTATGTCATCTATGTAACTTCAGTTGCCTGTCAGAACTTGTATAAGTTGGTAGTGTTTTTTGGTGGGCAAAAACCAGCACAAAAACTTTACCGAAAAGTGATAGTTGCAGTAACAGCAGGTAAGTAATTTTTTTACAACCGTAAATATATTTAAAATGGATAATATAGACTACTATTTACGCAAAAAAATTTCATAAATTCACCTAATATGTTGGTGGGTAAAGTCACACACTTCTTTTTTGAGCATTGTTGACAACATTGCCCACCAATTTATTACCCGTAGGGCTGTCATCTGTAACTTTTTCATTTGCTGTAATTTTTGTTAGTAGCACAAATGAAAGATCTCGTCGATCGTATTTTCTACATATAGTATTCTACGCTTCTGCGTAATTCCGCATTTTGTAACCATTTTATTATTTGTTTTTATAGTTTCTCAGATATATTGTTTTTGTTTTTATAGGATGAACAGTAATAATAAATCAAATACATGTACAAAAAGAAAAATAAATAGAAGAAAACTAGGATCCAGAAATTACAAAAACTACTCTAAGGAAATGTTGGATATAGCAGTAGACCTAGTAAAAAAAAAATGTTATTTCTAGTGGACAAGCCGAAAAACAATTCGGGATACCACGGAGGACCATAATAAATAAGGCAAAAGAAGTACACATGAAAACGGTTGGGGGACAAAAACATCTAACAGAAATCGAAGAAGAAAATCTTGTAAATGCTCTGGTAGCTGTCAGTGACTATGGTTCTCCAATGACCAAGTTAGACCTGAAAATGCTTGTTTTTAATTATTTAGAAAAAAATTCACGCAGTCATATTTTTAATGGAAAAATGTCTGGAAATACTTGGGTAGAAATTTTTTTTAAATAGACATTCATCAAAATTATCAGTTCGAACTACACAAAATATAAAAAAGGTCCGGGCCGAGAAAGGTCTGCTAGAAATGCAAAATTTCTTCGATAATTTACAAGCGACGCTGAAGGATATTCCACTAGTTACATCCTTAACTATGATGAGACTAATTTGTCTGATAACCCGAGTAATTTAAAATGCATTTTTAGAAGGGGCATAAAATATCCCGAAAGAATTTTAAACAGTTCTAAGAGTTGTGTTTCGATTATGTTTACGGTGTCTGCAGCTGGTGACTGTCTTCCAACATATGTAGTATATAAAGCTACAAATCTATATTCCGAATGGGTTGACGGAGGTCCTGATGGAACTCGTTATAATTGCACTAAATCGGGTTGGTTTGACTCTGCCTGTTTTGAGGATTATTTTAGAACAATTATACTAAAGTGGGCAAAGAATCTATCAGGACCAAAAGTCATAATAGGTGACAATTTGTCTAGTCACCTAAATATCGAAGTTGTGGAGCTATGCCAAAAATATGATATTAGGTTTGTGTTTCTTCCACCTAACTCCACACATCTGACCCAACCTCTAGATGTAGCGTTTTTTGCCCCTTTAAAAAGAGAATGGAGGAAGGTACTCACAAATTACAAAATTCAAAATCCGGAACAGTCAACTATTAATAAAAAAGCACTTTCCTAAACTCTTGAACGAATTATTAAAAAATATTAATCTCAGAGAAAGTAATAATATTAAAAGTGGATTTAGAGCCGCGGGAATATGGCCAGTTAATGCCCGAAATGTTTTGAAACGAATACCTGAGTATTTTGACGAAGAAGTGTACAGAATAGATTCCGCTTTATTAGATTACCTACAAAAAACAAGGTGTTCTAAACCAATGGCAGTGAAAAGGAGTAAGAAATTACGTACAGAACCAGGCAAGTCAGTTTGTGCCGCCGATATTTTAATAAAAACAACTAGTAACAAAAGTGTTCAAAATAAGAAATCCAAAAGATTTGAAAACTATCAGGATAATTTTAATGATATAGAAAGCAGCAGGCAAGATTGTGAGATAAATATATTAGAAGAAGTGACTACTGAAAGAGACATAGAAGAAAATGAGCTCGTATTGGATGACAAAATAGGATTTTTTTTAAAAAACACACCTGAACATATTGAAACTACCCAGAAGATAGATCATGAAGGTATAGTTTTTCCGTCCAATAAATCTAACGAAATGCCTTCGACGTCAAATGAAAATGTTTATAGAAATAATTTACAAATGTTCCTATGGTCAAATATATCATAGTTATAAATAATAATATGATTTCCTTAATAAATTACACTACTCCTCTATCACCAAATGATGTGCATTTATTAAGCAAAAATCGAAAAGGTGACAAAGAGAACTTGCCATTTATAGTGATAAATGATAATGATTTGCCACCATGTTTGCAATCAACAAATCAAACAAATGTTACAATAACTTCCAATGTAAAATTAGACTGTAAGGAAAGAAAAACACAGAAAAACTTAAGGATCCAAATAGATGCTGGCGCTAAAGTTATTACGCAATCAGCACTGAAAATGAAATTATTTACAAGGGATAAAATAAATAAAATAAACAATGATTCAAGCGTAACGGACAAAAATAATAAATACATAAATATGCAAAAAGAAGAAAATACAACACGAAAACGAAAAAGTATGACTAGAACCACATGCGTAAAGCGTGAAAAAAGGAGTAAAATTAATAAAATCAAAACAAAATCAAGGAAAACAACATCTGTGAATAAGAAGAAATTTAAAAAAAAAATTAGTGAATCAAGCTCTGAAATTTCCGACTTTCAATTGAGTATAGCAGAATCAGATGATTCGGAATATGAAACATTAAATGACTACATAAAAATCTGTTTACAAGATCAGTCGGAAAAAGAAAACTTGGAGCCGGACCCGATCCCGTTTGGAATCAGTGATATTGAGTATTTCACAGGCAATGTTGATAATATAAACGAAGGTGACTGGCTCATAGCTAAATTTGCTACGAAAAAAAGCGTCGAGCACTTTGTTGGATGGATTTTATTTATTAGAAATAATATCCCTACAATAGAATTTCTAAGGAAAGTTAAAAATACTGCAAATAGCAAAAGATTAACCTTTACGTATCCACCTGTCAAAGATATTTATGAAATGCTTCACGTAGATGACGTTGTTCTCGTCTTACCGTTACCGTCTTACCTTAGAAGGGGCCAAGTTATGTTCGAAGTTGATTTTTCTAGTTATAATATACAATAAACTTATTATAAAATATTAAGTTACTAGCTGTTCCCCGCAACTTCGCCTGCGTGGATTATTTTCCGCGAAACCCTAAAATAAAAGTAGCCTAAGTTGCTCCTTATAACATTAGTTATCCGCCTGTGAAAGTCTTATCTAAATCGGATCACTGGTTTTTGCGTGATGTGTGTCCAAACAGATGTTGTGTTAGAGTTTTAGTATAGTATAGAAGAATAGATAAATAGATGTTGTAAACTAAAGTTATTTTGTTAAGTGCAAAACTTACCTGTTAAATTGTTATGTTATTATTATAATATAATGCAAATTCAGTCTGAAGTAAAATAAGAAACTCTTTGTTTATCTATGCTTAAGTTTTACTTGATCTCAATTGTAACAATTGTTCCTATAAGACTGAGAATATTTTGTGTAATAATTAAAACATTAAGAATAGCTGCTATTATATTTACGTAATTAAAATACTAATTATAGATGACATATTTGATTTGTTTATGTAATCATCTTTTAAAAATCCCTTAGGTGTTTTTGATATTATGTTACATTGAAGATTATTATCTTTAAGCTGGACCTATAATATAAGCTAGTTTGATTATAGTCGCAAGTAAAATTATTGGGTACACACTACACCTATGTTTAAGTGTTCCTTGATTTCGATTTTAAATCGAAATCTAAAAATACCCAAAGAACCTGTGCTCAATAATATAAGTTTAGGTATTTTTAGTTTATTCTATTACATGTTGTACTTTTATTCCTTTTATTCGTTATTGTTAATCGCTACATAACTCAAACAAACAGTATAATATGTAGGTACACCGTTGTTCTTTATTTTGTATCCATTATGATTGCACTTTTTGAATTTATTATGTCAATAAATATTTTATATATAAAAAGTTTTCATTTATTATTGGAATGAAGTATTTTTTTAATGGTGACAGCCCTTAGACGTTGATCGTTATTGTAAGAAAAATGTTCTAGGTGGGTTTTTGACTTTGCCCACTCAATTTTAAAGGACAATGAATATGACTATTAAACTGATATTTTAATATAATACTGCATTGCTCTACACTTATGTTTAGCTATTTTAAGATTTTTGATACGGTTTATAATATCGGAAATATTTAAAGTACTTACGTAACTTTGCCAAGTTGCCAAAAATCTATGAAATTTTGCCCACCACATATGAATGTGTTTTTTACAAATATACATACAACTTTCTGGATATTTTAAGAAATAAATATCGAGATATGAACTTAAAGTACTGTGTGGTACAAATATGGTATGAAACATATAACGCGTTTTCAAAATAACTCAAAAAATGCAAGAATATTCTCATTTTTAGGGCAAAGTTGGCATGTTTTACGGTACCTATCTCTTCACGAGAAGTATCCCGCGGCGCCGGAGCATAGCAACAGACGAGCCGCTCTTTATCTTTAGTAACGCGTCAACTTCCCTACGTTAAACCTGTGTCGCTCGCTGCTAGTTACTGACTACGTAATATTTCGTGCTGAACTTAATTAGTGTTGATTATCAGTCGCAAATTTGTAAGGAATTGTGTGTCCGTAATAAATAAATTCATAAAGCGATTACGAACATTTTATTTATGTGTGAAGGGACCTTAATTAAATATAGGTGTATATAAGATAGCGGACCATCATCTATAAACGCATCTACAAATCCCCTGGTGTTGTAGTTGTTTATGGGCAGTGGTAGTCACCATCAGGTGAGCCCCATTCTCGTTTCCACTCTCTCATATAAAAAGAATCTATGCATACCACCTACTTAACTCATACTACACCTATGCCACCCTTAAGAAACAAGATGAAATGCCGTGAAACACGGCCATTAAGCTGCTATTTCATGCTGGTATTATGTATGTTTTGTATATGAGAGCGTGTCTCTTCCCCAGTCGAGCAAAGCCATTGTGCTACAACCATAATATAGCTGCATTATCCCGGGTAGTGACGATGTAAGAACATCCACTACCCCATATCATCCCCGTGGGTGTCGTAAAAGGTGACAAATGGGAGGGAGGAGATGGGCAGCAGCGTCTTCGTAATAAATACTAAGCGTGGAAACTATATATGTATATATATATATATATATATATATATATATATATATAGCATCAAAATCAATAACTTTGGTGTACCACAAGGCAGTGTATTGGGTCCATTATTATTTATTATATACATAAATGATCTCCCGAAAGTAACAAGCAATGACACTATTTTATTTGCTGACGACAGTACAATTATATTTACAGGAAAAGAAACAACACAAATAGAATTGGACATAAACAATACCTTAGACAATATTATTAAATGGTTGACTTTAAATAATTTAAAAATAAATTTGGAAAAAACTAAATTAATGACGTTTCGAAACAGAGTTCACAAATTAATGGACATGAAAATCTAATATACACAAACAAAAATTGAATAAGTAGAGACAATAACATTCTTGGGACTACACATTGATTCTCAACTAAACTGGAAGTTACATACAGAGATGTTGTGTTCGAAACTTAATCAATAATCATATACGATCTACATGTTGTCCAAAACTGCCAGTACATCTACAGTTTTAACCGCTTACCATGGACATGTTACTCCTCTTTTAATGTATGGTGTTATGTTTTGGGGCAACTCTGTGGGAAAAGAGTTGGTCTTTAGGGCGCAAAAGAGATGCGTTCGGGCTGAACACCGATTCCTACCAAGGATGATACGCGAGGCTATTGAAATTAAAAAACATCCAAATTTCAATAGAGAAGATGGATGGGTGCTGCCACCTGCTTGAGATCCTATAATTAACAAAATTAAACCCAAACCTAAGCATACCACTGCAAGACTTCATGATACTATAAGCTCGTTTTACGTAAATCGGACCAAAAATTAATATTCAAAAAACTGAAGGTAGCCGGACTAACTATGACTGGGACGTCAAACATCTCAGTCCCCCCCCTGTGACCATGGGTGCTGTAAAGCACCCGAAACGTCGGGAATTAAAAATAAGTAAAAGTAATGAAATAAACGCGATAAAATCCGTAAATTTAGTTTTATTCAATGTGTAGTGTTCGCGTAAATTTAAGAAATCATTATGCCGTTAAGTGTCATGGTTTCACAGTCACTTTGACTTACAGTGATAGAGACAGCACGAGACTTGATGCAGATTACTTAATGACAGATTTAATACAGATTATAAGAGAACGATGCATCAAACTGTCAAATAAACTGTTTTGGCGGGAACTTGACCGCCTTTGAATAGCCACTCCTTCGTTAAAATAAGGATTCAATAGGATTTAGATATATATAATTGGTGCGATTTCTTATATTTAGTGACTGCTCATGACAGCTTTTAGTATCAACGATATAAAAACTGCTCCGGGTGCGATGTAAATTATAACCGTTAATGTAACAGCCTATCGTATAGTAAATAATGCTATAGCTAAGTTAGTTAATTGGTTTAATGTTAATAATTTGCATTAGAATGGAACTTAAACTAAATGTATGAAATTCGTAACTCCTAATGTTAAACATGTCAATACGAATGTAATTTTAAATGGGGAGGAACTGAGTCTTGTTGATACCACCATTTTTCTTGGAATCACACTAGACGCAAAGCTTCAATGGCTCCCCCATATATCAAAACTAGCTAGCAGACTTAGTTCTGCAGCATATGCTGTAAAAAAAGATTAGAACTCTTACCAATGTTGAAACAGCTAGAATAGTTTACTTTAGTTATTTCCATAGCATTATGTCGTATGGTATTTTGCTATGGGGACACGCGAATGACACTGAAATTATATTTATTTTACAGAAGAGGGCCATTAGAGCAATATATAATTTAAAACCAAAAGAGTCACTGAGACAAAAATTTAAGGAAATTAATATTTTAACTCTGGCCTCTCAATACATTTATGAAAATGTAATCTACGTACACAAAAATAAAAGTAGTTTTGCGAAAATAAGTGATATTCATTCTGTAAATACTAGGAACAGACGCAAGCTAGTGGTACCAGTTACTCGACTCCACCGAGTCAGTAATTCATTCTTGGGGCGATGTATACGCCTTTACAACAAAATCCCAGAAAATATACAAAATGTATCATACACAAAGTTCAAAAATGTTATTAAACTAAGTTTGTATAAAAAGGGTTATTATAATATTAAGGAATTTATGGATGATAATAACCCCTGGGAATGGTGATCGCTACCAATCTATTTATAATTTGTCTTGTGTTGCTAATTGTAAACATGATTGTAAGCTATTATTGGAAAAAAAAATAGTCCCGCTGGGTTTCTTGCTGGTTCTTCCCAGGACAGAGGTTTTTTTTTGCGAACCAGTGGTAAATGAAAAAAGTGACTTTCAATAAGTATTTGTTATAATCTACATTGAATAAAAAGGTTTCTGTTTCTGTTTCTATCAAAAGTCCACTTCTGATAATAGGCCTCCTCCTATGATTGCTTCGTAATTATTTAATTTTCCATAGTTTGCCACGCTTGTTATTAGACGCTGCTAGGCGCAGACTAGACTGTACGGGCACATGTCTCTTTGCCTTAAAATAAAAAATGGCACTAAGTAGGTCTGCCAACTTTTTTATTTGAAAAAGAATTTTATGATGATGTTTCAAACTAGTACGTGCGTAGATAAGGTACCGTAAACATCGTTTATGTTTCGTTCGTGATTAAATAATCATAAATAGTGTTAAAAGGTAATAGATACTAACAAAACTCATATCATTTTAAAGTGCATCAAATATAGTGTCTGGTAGTGCAATAAGAATTTTGTTATATTAACAGCCATAACAACAAACTCAGTGTATATTTTGGTGGCGTTAATTATTAATTCACCATCATCAGTAACAAATATCAAGTGCGGGTCGTTGTTATACGTGCATTCGGTCGATTTCGGTGGAGCTTGGGCCGATTCGCTTATGACTAAGGAGTACCTAGTTGCGTCTCCTCACCTCTGTGAATCTCGTGCGTTAGCGTTGGCGCTCAGGG